TGTGCTTGTCTTGAGCACAACAGATAGTTCTAACTTAAGTACCACTGTCTTGAGTATGGTCCTAGTTTTTACTGAAGTACCACTTTTGCTACCATCTGGTGCCTTTTGTGTTGTCTTGAGCGTCATCGTGATGTGTTCGAGTATCTATGCTATACATGTGCTATTTATTCCCGTTCACTTTCACTTTGTATTGTTAACCAGTGTGAATGGCACTGACAACAGCTTGAAATTATAATTACTTTCTAAGCTCTTAATGTGTGGGATGAATCTGTGCTACTAGAGAATTAGTACAAGTGTGCAACAATGACAGGCCATCTACCATTTTTGCTAAGAAAACAATGTAGTCTTAGTCATTCTCTTTTAGTGGATATACTTTTGTAAGACGTGGGAGAGGTATGTGCTTTGCCAATAGGAATTAGTTGTTGGAATGGCCGGGCCCTTCCCAATGTAACAGTAACCAGCCCACTCACTCACGCGGGCCTTCCCAGCGCACTCCGGCCCTATAGCGTGTCGCCGATAACATCATTTCTGGCCGGGTCATTCGTCGCCTCCTCTCCCCGGCGGCGCAGAAGATCCTCCTCGCCCCCTCCCAATATCTGTCAGCGGCGAGCGAGCCCTCGTCCGCTCCGCTTCGGGAGGATCGCCGTCGTCCTTCCCCTCGACGGCAACGCGTGCAGCGGCTGAGCGGGAGGAGCCGCCCGCTGCTCTCCTATCGGTAAGACGAACTGCACTTGGAACACCCCACAAATTCACCTTTTTTTTTGTTTGTTTACCAATTAGTATATGAGATTTCAGTTATGAGCAACACAGAAATTGGTAGAAAAGAAGCCACTATTAGTCCCTAGACCCTCTGGTTTCGGAACCCGTCTCCTCTCCCATTACCTGATGCAATCACAACACATGGCCAGGATATAGACATTATTGCAGATTAGTCAACAGGGATTAGAGTTTCTGCTAGCTGATTCGTGCATTATGCACGACTATTTGATTACAAAGTACACAATGTTTGATGGCATCTCAACTGAGGTCACCAGAACTATGATGTGATCACAACAAGCACATGAAACATTTGTTCATTCGTTTAACCTTCTATTCATTAGTCTCTA